GTACAGCAATCGCTCATGAGGCAAACGTCTCACTCACCATGATGACAGGATAAGCTACAACCATGAAAGCTAAATTGCAGTTCTCTGTTAATTATAATTCCAGCATAACTTTAACTACTCTGGTGAGACGGATGAGTTGACAGACCTACAAAAAGAACCACAGAAAGCTTCGTGTTTGGATAAATCAGCCTTTGCTTTTGGGCCAGACATTTCCATATAGAACAACAAATTTTCTCATTTAATCTGCTTAATGTGAAGGAACCCCTCTGAATAAAGTAAACGTACTGAAGGTCAGAACTATTTTTCAGTACCAGTTATTGTTTAGAAATAAATCAACAAATGTTGTCAATTTTAATGACATTTAAATACTGAATTTCTCATTCATCTCTTTTCTCCAGGATAGTCCTTCAGTTAGATACAGACTAAAGTAAACAGATTAATCGACGCAAACACGGCTGGCAGCTCTGACTGGTCACATTCTGCTTTTATGTTTATTTACTGGACACTTTTGTCCAAAGTGACATGCAAGTGAGGATATAATAGCAGGGACAGCCAATCCCTGGAGCAATTGGGGTTAAGGGTCTTGTCAAGGGCCCAATGGTGACATCAGCCAGCCAATGGATTTGAACCAGTGACCTTCTGATACCTGGCATAGAGTCCTAACCCACAGAGTCACACACTTTGGCAGAAAAAGAATATAATTCTCAAAGTGAGTCCCAGGCTGAAGCTGAGGTCCATCAATGCCAAAGCTTAGACCTCCAGCACCAGGAAGCCCACAAGATCACAGGTCTTGCCTCACCTTCTCTCCTGCTTCCTTGGACACCTTTCTCTTGGCTTCGATGTCACACTTGTTGCCAAGCAACATCTGGTTGACTCCCGATGATGCATTCTGTAAAATATGGGGCTTCTCAATTACTCTCATCCAAGGCTACACAAACTCATCTACTTATCTAGTTTCATTTAGTAAATATGGTAGAATCTGGCTCAGAAATGCGATCAATGACATAATTGGTTTATTTAATCAAAGGTGATGTAGAAAATCACACAAGTTAAAATCTTTAAACAGAAATGGGTGCATAATCTTGTATGATACTGAAACTATGCTGGTTATAGGGCTGGGACGATTATTTGACGTAATCGACGATGTCGATTATAAAAATGCGTTGACGTGGAATTTTATTGTCGACGCGTTGTGTAAAACTACGTAAATGTTTTGCAACTGTAATGCACTAGTGATTAACTGAATGTATTGTAAGGGAAAGTACTTTATCCCCTCAGGAGCACGTTAACACTGTCCTTTAAGAATCACGCAATAAAACAGTCTGCTAATAACTGAACTTTACTGTCCACCTGATGATCTCTTTGCCACTCGAGAGCTACAATATTTTATTTATTGGACCAGCGGCATGGTTTTCTTTTACAATACAAAGTTATTCCGCTAATTATAGACTGAATTCCGATATAGTTTTGTCTAATATCGCCGGTGCCGGCAATGCCGCACTATTTTGTAAGGCATGCACTGGCCAATCATGTAGCACTTCTCTCATAAATATTAATGAGACATCTCCTACCACCCTGCAAAAAGGAAATTTGCTGCCCGCCCCCCACACACAAGGCAACATGGCTGCGTCTACCAGCAGAGCTCCGGAGACTCTGGAGAAACACGCGGCAGTCTAGCATAGAAATACTATTGAATCTCTTAAGATTTGCCATATTTGTTAATAATGCTCTAATGTTTAAAAAATCTTTTAATAAATTGAAATGTTAATGAGAATTTCAGATTTGTGTGTGGGGGGAGGGGTGAATTGTTGTACTAAATGACTAACTTGAAAATAATTGCTTATCAATAAATTTATCATCAGATCAATCGAAAAATTAATTGTTAGATTACTCGAATAATCAAAAAAAATAATCGCTAGATTAATCATTTAAAGAATAATCATTTGGGACAGCACTAGTTGGTTAGACTAGAAACTACTCATTCTGCAACCAATTAAATTATGAAACTCATTAAATTACATTAATTAACCTTTAGCTGACATTAATGTGTTTCTAAAGCCTGATAAACTGTTAATGACATAATATTCTTAAATACATCAATTCAAATCAGTTTCTTAAATCAGGAAGATCGACATTGCAAACAGCTAATCGGTCCCATTCTCATAGGGTGACCAGACAATCCATGTCAGGGAGGACACTTGGAGCTACTTCAGGTTTTACAAACTACTTTCAAACTGAAAGGCTCCTGTGCTTGGCTTAGTAGATCAGCTCTTCTTGCGCTTTGATTGGTTTGTTTCCTTGACTGAAAGACTCATCCAGCTGTTTCATATTGGCATTAGTGACACATGCATGATTATAGGAGACTGACCAATCGGCACACAGCAAGAACTCAGTGCTCAAGTGAAATCCAGGTCCGTTTAATTGAAATGGTAATTAACAATTCCTGTCCTAGCTCAGAGCGTTCTCCCTGACATGGATTATCTGGTCACCCTACATTCTCCTGATTTCATCCGCCCTCTCTCACCTCTTTGATGCTCTTCATCCAGTTCTGGATGTTCTCAAAGGACTTCTCATCAGTGATGTCATACACCAGGATAATGCCCTTGAGGTAGAGTCATAGACATTATGCAATGGATTCTCCGAGTGCTCTGACTCGGAAATTACTTTATGACACGAGACCTGTTTTCTGTGTGCAGGGTGTGTACAGACTCACCATTGCTCCTCTGTAGTACGCTGTAGTAATAGTCTTAAACCTCTCCTGTCCTGCTGTGTCCCTGTTAATACACAAACCACACTGACAACGAACCCAGCCTATCCCACAAAACTGTGCCGGAACAAGCAGTCATTTACACGCTGCACAAACGTTTGACCGTTTATCTGCATACTGTAACCACTATGCAGTCAATTTGTTGAAACTGTCAACATTGTAACAGCACTTAACATACAAGCAGGCAGATTTTATTAATCCTGTTTTTCTTTCCATAATAGCTACATTTAGTGTACAACAGTTATCACAATATTGTCATAATATCAATATTCATGAGACATCTCCAAATGCCTGCCATAAGCTTCCTGTTTAACAGCACACAAACGACTACACTCCGCAGCACAATTTATAGCACACACCACATTGCACATACTGCACTGAGTTCGCAATAATATGTTCACATCACTTACACACAGGAAATTCTTACCAGATTTGCAGTTTTACTTTCTTTCCTTCTACATCTATTGTTTTAACCTTAAAGTCAATGCCTGTAGACAGGACAGTAGGGAGGGGGGGAAGTGAGAAAAGGGAGGCTTCATTTGAGTCGCGACATTGGCAATACATCAAATCTAGGTCGGGTCGATTAAACACCTCGAAATTCTGAGAATGCCCTGCAGTCTTTGGCAAAGCTGTTGCATTTTGTAATAATAAAGCCAGACACCAAGCAGGGAAGGGCACTCACAACGATATGGATGAGCACACAAAAAAAGCCATTCCAGGGACGAGAGCCATTATGTCTGAGCACAGAATGAGAGATTGCAAAAGAGATAGGGTCCCAAGGGTGGGGGTGTAGCAAGAAACTGGAGGTAAAGGACATACGAGAAGAAGATGTGAAGAACTTGGCAAGATGGACGCAAACAAAGAATTTTAGATGGAGAGATAGGCACTTTCTGGAGAAGCAAGAAGTGAATGGTCGGGTAGAAAGTTAAATACAGACAGGTACTGACATGAAGGCAGCACTCCGGGAACTTCAGTAGTCATAGGTGTGCGCCAGAACAGGCAGCAGCGGTTGAGGGAGCAAAGTTGTATTAAACTGACAGCATCAGTAAAAAAAAACACCGCATTCGAACAGATATTTACCAATAGTGGATATGTAAGTGGAGTTGAAGTTATCGTCTGCGAATCGGATGATCAAACAAGTTTTTCCGACACCACTATCTCCGATTAACAGCAGTTTAAATAAAAAGTCATACTTCTTCGCCATAGTTATGTATTTGTATTTCAATACAAAAAGCCGCTTTCGATATAAAAATAAATCCAAAACTAATAAATACAACTATCTCCAAAACGAAGGTTCTCAATGGAATATTGATTTTTCCGAACACAAACTGACTTTGTTTTAGTCGCTTTTCTTATGCTTGAATTTTATTTTTCCATGAACAATGTCAAGGAAAAGAATCCCCGTCCTCTCCAGCGGTTCTGTTCTTCCGAGCAAAAAGAAAAAGTTAAAGGTTGCCTCGATTGTTTCTGCTCATTTCGAAGTTTTGCTTTTTCACATAACTATAATCCAGTGTGGTTGAAAAACGACGGGCACCTCTTTTTCAGCCAGCAGTCATGTATAAGTTCAGCTCCACATAAAGTCGGTATTTACTGTGTTCCGAGTTCCCGAAAGTTTACGTGGAAAGGGAGAGGTTCACAAATATTTCGCTTTCGGAAAAGGGAGTAGGACAGTGGGAATGGGACACTTACCTTCTGCACCGAGAGGGGGCGACATATCGTATGTTGGCATTCTCCGTAATGTTGACACGAGTTAAACCTTATTTTATATAGCGATTTAGTAAAATATACGGATGTTTATCGTAGAATCTCAAAAACGAGTGTTATTACCAGGTTTCACCTCGGTTTAAAAGCCCAACTAACGGTTCATTTATTTAAATATTTATGGTTGAAACACCGGCTTGTCAGTTCATTGTACTGTGGGATTAAATGGTCACATGCTGGATTAGGTAGATTATTCTGTGGCTACCTATATAGCCAGTGGCTCTTAAGAATAAATACATGGCTGATGTGTTTATTTTACATCTGAATTTTTGTATATAAAAAATAAAAGCGTCAGCTATAATGAGACATATTTTCATAGTCATCTTACCCCTTAATTAATGAAGCATTGAAATGAAATGTTTCCATTCCGAAACTACGTTAGACAATGGCGACCTCATCAATATGGCCACAAATACCTCCCTTGTCGCTGTTGCTTTACACGTACACTTTCAAAAATGGCGGTTCGGCAACTTCCTGCCCCTGCGCACGAGCCCCGTTTATATTAGGAGCCTGCTTCCGGTTCTTCCTTCTTTTCGGCAGCGGCTACTAACTCGCCAACATGCCAGTAAGTGTGTTCGCCACATATAAACCGCGGGATTATCCCTGAAACGTGTGCCAACGAACGGATTAACGAATCGTAGCGAGATATTGAATGCATTTGCGTTGTTTTGAGGAAAGTATCGATGAAGAGCTACTGATAAAACAAAAGAAATTTGTAATGTAGAACGTGTTGTGAGCGCCACTTAGAAAATAAGATGGCGGCGTACACGAAGCATGCAGCGTTTTAACACTACTTTGTTAATCTGCTCTGTAGATTGTATTTGAGCGTTATTTATACGGATGTTCATTAATGCTGCTTGATTATTCGTTATACGATGCGATTCGTGATCGTTAACCCGTTTAAGTGTAATTAAATTTTAGAGAGAACCTGTTCTGACGCATTAGGAAATTGGCCTCCGGGATCAGCGTGCATCTTGTATTTATGTGTTACATTTTCTGTCCTAAATAATATACTGTGAAACACACGGGAAGTTGGATCGTAATGTTTGTTTAGTGATTATTTTATTAGTATTTAGTAAATTAGTATTGGTTCGGATATTCCGAGCGATTTATCAGACATTTGTTGTAATTTCGTGGCACTTAATTGGCGGAGTTGTGATACAGCTTGTGATATTTCTAACTAAATTTTAGTTTTTTAGATATTTATGTTTCATATTTACAAAGCAGGTATTGGTTGCAGTGTAAAGGTTTTTAGAGGAAGTTGTTTGTGGTGCGGAAAGCAGGACTTGGGCGATTTTCCACATAAATTTGCGCCTTTTAGTAAGTGCTGTCGCCCCCCCCCCCTCAGCTCGCAAAGGACCTGTTGCACCCATCCCCCGAAGAAGAGAAGAGGAGGCACAAGAAGAAGCGCCTCGTGCAGAGCCCCAACTCCTACTTCATGGATGTTAAATGTCCAGGTTGGTCCCCACTGCAGATGTGATGTGATTGAGCCTTGATGATCCAGGTATCGGTTTAACCTGCAGTGTTTGGGCCATCACGTGACACACAAGTGTGAGCTTCCCCTCTTCGGTGTTTCTCTGTAGGATGCTACAAGATCACCACAGTGTTCAGCCATGCGCAGACAGTGGTGCTCTGTGTGGGTTGCTCTACGGTGCTGTGCCAGCCCACTGGTGGGAAAGCCCGTCTTACAGAAGGTAAGTCCGCCCAGTGCCCCATGTGAGGTGAAGTTGGGCTTCTTGGGTGCCTGTGTGTCATGAGAAATTTGGTGGAATTAAAATTTTAAAAGGTTTAGAGCATTTTGCAATTGTCAGGTCTTGGTACTAAACTCTACTAGCCATTCTCCAGTCTAACCTGTTTATTTCATGTCTGTATTACATAATCATAAAAAAATGAGCTTCTACTGTGTTGTGTGCCTCCTTGTCGGGAATGTTTATTTAATTGTGTACCTCTAAACTCTTCATTTTATTGTAACTTACTGATGGATTTTTTTTTTTGGTCTTGGAAATTGAATCAAAATGCATCTTTCGAAGTAGCCTTGGTGACAATGGAGGGAGTGTCCATTTCATCCCTGGAGGATGAGAAACGTTGGATATGTTGTCTTAAGTGAAAGCTGAATGGACGTGTCTTGCATTGTTACATTTAATAGCTCCCTACTTTATTGTCATTAAACTGAATTAAAGATTTATCCTTGGTTTATCTGAAAATTGATCTGCAATTTTACTTAAGTTTGCCTGTGGTATGTGGTACAGGAAATGAGGTTTTGTTCTGTTTGTCCAAAGTGGAGTTGCACACTTCCTGCTGAGCCTTACATCCACCATGACCTGACGCTCTCTTTGCCTACAGGTTGTTCATTCCGGAGAAAGCAGCACTAGAGCCTTTGGCCCTGAGCGGCGGGGGGGCAGAGGTGGGGTTACAACAGCAGGATTTCACTCTGGTCACCTGGCTGCAAGCTGCAATTTGGATGTGGAGTTTTGAACACCGGAGACGAGGCTTTTGAATGAGCCCCTCCTATGTACGGGGAAGAGCCTGACTACCCGGACTGGCTTGCTGTAACTCCTGCCTCTACCTGTCTTTCTCCCAATAAAACATTTCGCTAAAGGATTGCATTACATGTGCTTTTTGGTTTTACTGTAAAATCCCGTTATAACTGACTTCAAGGGACCTGGCAAAACAGTCCGTTACATCCAAAGTTGCTGTATGCCCAGAACACAACTACAGGACACCATTTACTCATGCCACACCTCAGCAGACACACTTGTGGTATAGATTATTATATTGTACATGTAGTCATCCAACTTTACCTGAGCAGATGTGTAACTATTAATAATCCCGTCTATGTATCTGCGCTGGATATCACCAGCATGCCACGTGCCTTGTATGTGGAGCCTGCATGTCTGTTATAACCGAACAAAACTACAGCTAAAAGCAGCCCTGGGGACCAAATTTTCCGATATAAGCGAGATTCTGTTATATGCGATGTTGCATATGTATATGCTTTTTCTGCATGTTCGTAAAGGCGAACGGCTGGGACCAGCGGACTTTGTCCATCATAGACGTTATTCCATTATAAGCGAGTCCACTATAAGGGGATTTTACTGTTGTTCATTCCTCAGTATTAAAATAACTTTTGTGAATGTATGGCTCTTTCCAGCCATGGTTGAAAACTTTAATGCTGATTGTCTGATATTGATTGTGTCAGTTTGCACCAGTTTTAGGCCTGTCAAACTAGTCTTTACCTTGAGCTGAAGACCCTTGTAATAAGCTAAAGGCAGCTATTTTGTATATTTAAAGAGATTTCAGAATCTTCCTGGTAAGTTTTGTACATTAGAGATAAAAACCCTGGAACAGATCCGATTGGCTAACTGGCTTAACGGCTGCTATTCATTTCCGGGGGTGTGGGGGGGGGGATTCCTTTTACCCATCACAGTTAGCTCTGTTATCGGAATCGGAGAGGAGGTTGGCTTCCGTATCCTACTGGGTGCACCCTGAGCAGTGCCCTATGCATGCCACATGAAGGCAAACCATGCAATCAGAGGGGGGTTAGTGAGCTGCTGTTTGAGTGGGCTGGGCCATGCTTTCCCTCCAGCCTGAGGGTTCCTCATTTGCAGGAGTGATGGTGCTGATCTCCCAGCTTATCTGTAGGGTGTGTCAGGTGTCCTGGCTTTGTCTTCCATGAATTGGGCCCTGCTCTGAGCACACAGTAGGTTATTTACACAAACACACACTAGGGAGGGAGAATGCTGGGTGCTGCTGGTAATACATTGTTGGGTCTCGACCCAATGGTTGAGTAACATCTCAACATGGTAAAATCAGTGGGTAGAGGTGCCTGTCCTGCAGAATTGTGAGGTAGGGCTATTCACAGGCACCACAAGGTGGTTGTGGATCTGTTTCCATGGTAAGTGGGAGGAGTGTAAGGCAGGGGTATATTTACATGTGAATTTGTATGTAGCAGATGCTTCTGTCCAAAAATATTTAGAGCAGTTTGGGTTAAGGGTCTTGCTCAAGGGCCCAGCAGTGATTGGACTGCTGGTTGTGGGATTCAAACCCACAAGCATGTGAACATGGGTGAAGATCCTAACCTGCTGAGCTGAACTCCGCCCCTTATGAAAAAATATGTAAACATAAAAGAAAATGTTTGCCTTCATTTATACAACTGAGGAAGCAGGGTGAGTCAGTCCCTGGAGCAAATAAGGTCACATTTCTACCCATGGGATTTGAACCAGTGACCTTATGCTCACAGGCAAAGCAGCCTAACCTGCTAGATCACATAAGCATCTTCCATTCCCCTGCAATGAGGGCAGGATGCAGGTAGAGGCAGAACAGCTGCACGGCCGGGCAAGGAGGGACACAGAAGAGGCAAGGAGTCAAACCAGTGAGGCACTGACATCATACAGCTCTACCAACCCGAAGAGGCAGGGAGGGAAAGGTGTGGGGGGGGGGGGGTCATTAGCTTCACAGAAATTGAAACGCCATCAAACGTCATCCCACACCACCTGCACCCAAAAAGCTGTCACTGTCTCTACTCTCCACTTATCTTAACGGTGCTCAAATTGTAGAGCGAAGTTGTTAAATCCTGCCACCAGGGGGCGCCAAATGGCCAAAAAGCTGGCATTGAGCTAAAAAGGAAAAGAAAAGATTGTTAAAAAAAAAAAAAAAACCTAATGATGGAATTGTAAAGAAAGACAAACACTACACCAATGGCTCTTCATTCATTCACAGGGCTCAAATTACGTTGCTTCAGGACTAACTTTTACATCAAAGGGCTTTTTCCACAAAGCAAGAATTGGTGACATTATAATGGCTAATTTGCATCATACTGTGGATAGGAGAGTTCCACATTGACCATGTCAATATATAAACGAGATTCCCATCGTTACACAAAAATAGGCATGGGGTCCCAGCCAGCTCCACTATCACCTGTACAGGACAAAGCATGACAAATTAGCATCACATTGCCAACACACTGAGATGTTTAGGGCCTTTCAGAGCCTTTCTTCTGTTCCTCTTTGAGGGCCTACTGCCCCCTTCCCAGCATGTTGCCCACCTCTGTCCCAGCATGCTTTGCAAGGACCTCCCCTGTGATTGGGTAAATTGAGTGAAAATGGAGATCACATTCCTGCTTCCATGGTGGCCTTTCAAAGAGAGGGAAAAAAAATTGAATCAAATTTCATCTGAGACAACTGCTGGGCTGAAGAAACACGTAAATTTATGCTAACAGATGATTGAAACGCAGATCATTTCAGGCCCGGCATGTACCATCCGCAGACACCAGGGGGAGACCTCATCCACAGGAACAGAGAGATGGTGGCCTGAGGGTTGGGGTCCCCCTGAAACCTCAGTGTCACACCATCCTGGACTGGAAATGAGTGCCTGTTGCTGTCTGGAGTGACCTGGAGCCGGTCATCTGTGAGGAAGAGCAAAGGTAAGTGCAGTGGAGCAGAGGATCAGGTGGCTGAGAATACCGGACACAAGCCATTAACGCCAATCGGGTGTAGTCGCAGTGTCCTGTTACCAGCACAGCCTAATGCAGCTGTCAGCTGTGATGAGAGCGTGTCTGTTGTGATAATGGAACTGCTGACCTAGATCAGAGTCCTGACGTGGACAGTTCAGCCAAGGGGCAAGCCTAGCCCCCCCAGTGCAGCCTGGAGATGGAGAACAAGTGCAGAGACCCCGCTGCTGATGCCTAGGAAGAGACAGTCAAAGTCCCTGAGTGTCTTCTGCGTGGTGCTGCGTGGAGCCGTGACCTAACAGCTCAGGGCAGGATACGGGGATTCGCAGGCTGCCGGCGGCGTGATGCTCAGGGCAGGATACGGGGATATACAGGCTGCCGGCGGCGTGGTGCTCAGGGCAGGATACGGGGATATACAGGCTGCCGGCGGCGTGGTGCTCAGGGCAGGATACGGGGATATACAGGCTGGCGGCGGCGTGACAGAAAGGGAGTGTTGAGTTATACTGGGGCCTGTGCTCCATAGGGGTGACGTTCATGATTCACTCTTACGCCACTTCTAGACTCACAGGAACCCCACTCCTGTAACCTCACGCTAAATACCATTGACTTCATTAAGCATTAAATGATGACAATGGTGATTAAAATGTTTTAAATCCATATCATCAGTCTGTGACACAGACAGGCAGCATTAATGTAAAGAGCACTGACCTGGTTCAGACCAAACTGGCTCCCAACCTTCACCCTGTGAGGGAGCAGGTCAGAGGTCAGAGAAAGGTCACAAGGGATCCTTCTGTACAGACAGGCCAGGCCCCTGAGTGTGTGTGTGTGCCATAGAAATGAATGAACGGTTCCCATAATGATATGTTTACCCAACGTGTGTGTGTGTGTGTGTGTGCATGACCTTGTGTGTGTGTGTGTGCCTGCATACTTGTGTATCTGTGCATGTCTGTGTGTGCGCGCACATGTTTTTATATGTATGTGTGTGTGCATGTCCGTGTGTGTGTGTGTGTGTGGACACGTGTGCATATGTGTATATGTGTGTGTGTACATGTGCATGTGTGTGTGTGCACATTCATGTGTGTGTGTGTGTGTGTGTGTGTGCGGGAAGGTGTGCATCTGTGGGTGCGTGTGTGGATTATGGTTATATTACATTGTGGGGACCAGATGTTCACCACAATGTAATAAAAACATGTTATGTTGACGTTGTGAATGCAATCAAAAAACTAAAAATCAACCAAAAGTCTCATATTTTGTTTGGTTACTTATGGATAAGTTTAGGACTGGGTAGTGGTTAAGGTCATCATGTTGTGATTATAGTTTTCTGCAGAGAAATTAATGGAGAGTCCCCACAAAGATATAATTACAAACCTGTGTTTGTGTGTGTGTGTGTGTGTGTGTGTGTGTGTGTGTTCTGCATGCACACTTCTTTCAGAACGTATCGAGAATAAAGGTAGAAGTTGTTTTTTGTTCCTATTAAACAGCAGAGAAATGCCTTTTAAAGATGAAAAGTGCACTCAAGTAATAATCAAACAATTGACTTGGCAAGACTGCTACCTAATCTGAATTTTGCTAAATTGGATTAATGTTGCTGAACTCCTCATAGGGGTTTTAGACAGCTCAGCATCTCTGTATCATTTGCAAGGCCTCTTTCAGATACATCAACTAAGAAACATTACATGATTTGCCTTTTTGGTGCAAATGTGTTTAACATTGATTTTTAAAAGCTCTTTAAGGGTAAATGCAATCTGTAAAAAATCCTTCTTACTATCAGAGTAAAAGGATGACATTTGGTGGTAATTATTTCCTACATGCCCAATACTCAGCATTTTTGAACCTTTTAAAAAGAGATGTACATTACAGATATACAGTCTGATATTCTAATTGAACTCATGTAGCTTCTAGCAAAGGGTTGTGTCTCCATGGCGATATAGGTGGCGACAATTGGGACTTAAAACCTGCTTAACACCGGAGTGCTCAGATGTGCAGCAGGTCGATTTTCTGAAGGTTCATCACCTTTGGCCACAGAGTAACAGTGATAGTAACAATCACTCTGGGCAGAACCAATCCCCATCCAGCTCGCGGCCAGTAACAAATGAAAATGAGTGGCTGGGGACCTGAGGACCATAATGCTTCAGCAAACTATGGCTCCAGCGACTA